TAGAGGTGCTAGCTACGTAAAGATAAATTGTTGTTATTTAGCCTTGATACAGCACCAAAGGATAAAAACAACAAAATTACCTTATTTAGGATTTAGAGATAGTAAGAACTGCCGATGCTGGAGTCAGAGATAACACAGTGCGGAGCTGAAGGAACACAGCAGGCCAGGCAGCATCAGAGGAGCAGGAAAGTTGATGTTTTGGGTTGGGATTTGATTCGTATGTAACAACAGAGGAAACATTCCTGTTGTTTCAGTATCCTGAGAAGCAAATAAGATCACGGTAATATTAACGTGTAAGTAGCTCACTTCGAGTGGCCTCACAAGTCATCCCAATTAGTAATGCGTAATTGTCTCATTTTATCATGGTTGATCTCAGCTGAAGATGATTTTTCCGGAGGCAGGAAGCAACGTCTAAGGTAATTTAGAAATGACGAGAGCTGTTGTTGGCATCGTGAGTTTGCCAGATTAGCATTTTATCCACTGAGAAGATTACTGCTCAGAGTGAAGAGATTAACCTGGAAGTTCAGAACTGGAGTAAACAAATAACGAGCATTTACAGCAGGAATCTGCATGAGCCCAAGAAAGGGGGATTTTGCACATTTGCATAATTAGAAGTTTGTCTTTCTCTCAAATTTACTTCTCCCCCTCCGTCCCCGTTAAAGAAAACAGATAGCTCCTGTCTGGGACCACCAAAGGTCAGAAATTGAACTCCTCCCATGACAGCTCACCAACAGACCAATATCTGCAATTGGACCACCAACGCGTTGGTCTCTCCCCTCCTCACTTGCCCAGCAAGGGATTTTTATCTGCTGCTTAGAACATAAGAAGAATGTAAGAAACAGGAGGTGAAGTAAGCCATTCAGCACATCAAACCTGCCTTGTCATTCTTCAAGGCTATGGCTGATCTGCTGTAGGCCCCAACTCCTTTTTCATGCCTGCTCTCGATTCCTTGTTATCTAAAAAAATCTATCCACAGTCTCTGTTTAGTCTAATTTCTAAAGGGAACGTGTGGGATTACATCTAGGTTGTCCAAAATCTCAGCCAGGCTGCTGTAGTTTGATTGATAGGGATCACAGTTACTTAAAGCTTCGAAATTACTGTTGGTATCAAAGGGAATGATTAGATGACATTCCTCTTATCTAAATGAGTTTATTGCCAATAGATTAAAAGTTCCATGGAAATAGTAAAGCAGCATGAGACAAATTTGAGCTGCCCTGCAGCATTCACAATGGGGACACATCACCACCTTTTCAAGTGCAGTCATGGATAAAAAAAAACTCGTAGAATTGTAGAACACTTATGGCACAGGAAGAGGCTACTTGGTCTATCATGTCTGCATTGAGCTGACAAGCCTAGCCAATGGTGCTTGTATCCTGTGATTTAAAAAAATTACATGTCTCCAAGCCATTTATTCATATAAGAATAATTTCATGTCTAAAATAGGCATAGATTGTGAAATAATAGAAACATAAGCACAGGAGGAGGCCGGTTTGCTCATTTTGCATGCTTTGGTGAACAGATTAAGTGGTAATGAAACTCATACACAATCCACATGAATTAGAATTTATTACAATGTACATTCAGAACATGTACGCTGATATTGGGTATGAAGAGCAATAAAAATCTTTGGCCAAACTCAACAGTTCAGATGTAAGCAAATGCCTTTTTAATACCAAAGAGATTTGATTAACTTGAAGGAATTTTATGTTAAATCAAAGATCCAATAGAAAATATGCAGCATTGTTTACAAACGTAATACAGCGTTCCCAATGAAGCAGGATAATCACAAGTATCAAACCCCATATATTCCTCAACGCTATTGTTTACTGAACTAGTTATTCAGATTCAGGCAGTGGTATGTTAAAATGGGGTAAATAGGGGAAAAAATGAGTAATTGTTTTGGCATTTGTAAAGGTATTGTCTGGGACTGTGTGAATGGCACCTCCCATAATGATATAAGAGAACACATGACTGGGTGACCTGGAGGGAGAATGACCCCTTGTGTCAGCACTATAATATTTGGTTATGTAGAGCTGTGTATAGTTCCCTGATACATAATAACATAGTTATTGTTGAGCATAGTAATGATTCAGTTAGTCAAAGCTACATTGAAATAACATACAATATAAAAACGCAAAGAAATTTAGGGAGAGAATTGCAGAATTTCAGGTCTAGATATGCCATCATGATGGGAGTCACTGACTGGCTATTTTAGTGCATTGGAACAGTTATTAATACATATAATTACAGTTAGATCTTTGTAGGATGACTTCTTCATTTTATTGTTATTTTTCATTGCTATATAATTTTTAAAATAAATGAGAAATGTTCCTGAAATAAATTTTCACGTGGATAATGAAGTGAAATTAAATGCACTTACTCCAATTAGAGGAGGACAGAGTTCTCACAGGGTTGTGGCACAGGAGGATTTTACAGAAATAGGAGAGAAAAGGCCATGGAGGGATTTGATAAGTAGGATGTGAGTTTTAAAATCGAGTTGGAGCTGGCACAGGAGCTGGTGTTGGCCAGTGAGCATGGGGCGAACAAAATTTAAAATGAGTTATGATACCGGCAGCAGAGTTTTTATACATTAAGACAATATATACAGCTCTACATGACCAAGTCTTACAGTGCTGGCACAAGAGCTCAAGTTTGTGGAAGGTCTCACTGAGGTGCTTAAGGCACTTGAGCATTAGATTTGATAATCCTCATTATTTGCACCAATTACCCTCTAGCTCAATTATTAATGTACAGCTGATGTGCAAAGAAACTCTTTGATATTTTACTTCCCACTTCTATCCTTTATGAATATTTTTGTTCACTAAATTACATTTCAAAGTGTTACTCTATTAGGAGTGTGAACTGATTGTTAACACCAGATACACCAGATATTGCACTTGCTTCTGCAATAATATCAGTCTCCGAACTTATACCTTTCAAGTAGATGGCAGCCTTTCATGAACACACAGAAATCCTTTAATCACTAACAAGCTCTTTCCGACAAAATCTTCTGTTGTCATTATACTTTGGTTCTGTTGCATATCTTCAGCAACAATTGCAAGAAATGCAATCTCATGATTTCATGACAAAGTGCGTCAATCTGCTTTATAGACCAAAAAGAGGGGAAATATCCTCTTGTTTTTACTGTAATGGAATGGCCCTGTATATAAGTATAAGAAAGCCTTCCATCTCACTTTGAATCAGTAGAAAGGAGATCAGGTTTCTTTCAAGAAGCTTCCCTGCTGTTTGCAAATTGACTGCTGTGTTTACCCAAATTTCAAACAATTACAACCAATTAAATCAATGTGAAACAAGCTGGGATAATTGTTAAAGGACGGATGGAAATGTAGACAGGTGAAGAAATTTTAGGGAGAGTATTCGGCAGAGTTTAGAGCCTAGGCAGCCAATGCTTGAATTGTGTGCAGAACACCTTAACTGGAGGTGTGCTGAAGCCTTGGAGAGTTGGAGGAAATCACAGAGCTAAAGGGAGGCAAGGTATTGAAATTTGTGAAGAACTCCGTGATCCATGCAGTACCAGATAGATTTACAAGAAGCGTCAGCTACTTCTCCCTTTGGAGAATAGATAATACTATAGTGATCAGACCTGCTACGCCCCTCATACCAATCCAGATTTCATTAGTAAAGTTTTGAAACTGACACTTGGAACTGATAAAAACTGAAAGAACTGCAGATGTTGTAAATCAGGAGCAAAAACAAAGTTGTTGGAGAAGCTCAGCAGGTCTGGCAGCATCTGTGAAGGAAAAAACAGAGTCAATGTTTCGGGCCCGGTGACCCTTCCTCAGAACTTGGAGCTTCTACTTGGAGTATTAATGTGCGTCAATAAAAGAAGGGCAGTCAAAGAGAAACTGCCTGACAGTTCTGACATGATACAGCTTCTGAACACCATCACCACCCTTCCCCTTGTCCCTTGCTACCACACTTATGCCCACCCTTTGCAGCCAAGAAATCTCCTGCAACAGAACAGCAGTAGTAGTAACCATTGGTATTCGCCCCAATCCAAGTATTCAGTATCAACATCCAGCAACTCAGATACAGCATAGCCAGCTGTAGAGTCAAACTTCCTCCACTGTCCCCCAATAAGGTGCCTCTTAGACCCAACCTCAGAGAACGAAGAAGTTGTTGTTCCACTTTTTTTTATCTGTTCACAGATGTGAGCAAAGCTGGCTAGACCTACATTTATTGCCCATCACTAAGTGCCCTTGAAAAGGTCATGAGGGTGTACTAAGTCAAAATCCTTGAATTCCGCTCCATGATGACACTGTGGGTCTACCTACAGCATATAGACTGTAGCGGTTCAAGAAGGCAGCTCACTACCATCTTCTCAAGGGCTCCTAGGGATGGACAACAAATGCTCATGTCCCATGAGTGAATAAAAAAAGCTGCCTTGCTGAACCAGTGCAGTTCTTGGGGCATAGGGACACCCACAATGCAGTTAAGAAGCGAGTTCCAGAATTTTCATTCAGTAAAAATGGTGAAACGGCTCCGGGTCAGGCTGCCTCGTGGCTTGGAGGGGATCTCCTACTCAGGTCTCCTTCCTCAGGTACTCTTCCTCTATGTTAATGATAGTCTTGTGCCTGGTGTTTCCATCATCTGCAGTATTTTACAATTGTCTCAAGAGAGCATCCTGGTCTGCATCAGTGTGACTCTCCTCTCCCACATCTTTTAGCCCACAGCCTGAGGTAGCTTGCCCTTTTGAATGAAAATTAAGCCTAATAGTTTTTAGCCGCAGGAGGAGGTCCATTAGGATCTGAATTAACATTAAATAAACTTAATTTCAATTTGGACTGTGACAGTCTGCAAACAGAATAGACTTCATCACGTTCTTTGGGGCTGGATCAAGAGCTAAAGGGCCAATGTCAAATTTACAGCACCTTAAATTATCCTTAAGCTCTTACACCCCATGTGGAGTCTGTATGCCTTTCCCACAGTAGCCCACATTTCCTCTTTTTGTGGTAAACTGTTGCTTTTCCATGTTTCAGGTGCTGGAGAATCAGGAAAAAGCACTATCGTCAAACAAATGAAGTAAGTTTTGAATACTTCTGCTTTTCGCTTTTTGTTTAAGATGATACACTGCACTTACGCAAGCCTGTTGTTTGCAAAACTGCACTTCAACATTAAAGTGATGCACAGGCATTCCAGTTTGACATAAATATGTACCATTGATTTCCACTTGCTGCAGTCACAGCATTCCCATCCCCACTACCAACGCATTCACACTTGATTTGCAGTGAACTGTAAGTGCACACTTTCCACATGTACAGGATTCACATTACCAACTCACACTTACACAGAGTCTCATCCAGCTCCAGGCTCGGTAAGATTTAACTATTAACTGTACAGAGATAGGAACTGTTTTACCATCAGTTAAAAATGTTACTGAAGCATAGAGCATAGAAACGTAGCTATGTGAGTGGGCCATTCAGTTCCTCGAGCTTGCTCCATCATTCTAGATCATTGCTGATTTATCTGCATCAATGTCCTTTTACCACGTTATCCCATATTCTTTCCTGCCTTAATATTCAGAAATCTATCAAACTCTCGCTTGAGTTTGCTCAATGACTGAGGTTCTTAGTCACTCTTGGGTAGAGAATTCCAAAGATTCACTATTCTACCCATCTTAGTTTGGTGGCTTGCCTTTACTCTGGAGATGTTTCCACTGGCTTCCCCAAAATGCATCAAGCAAAACATCCATTTTGGATCTACCTTTTAAGAATTCTTAAAAGTTTCAATGAATGCACCACTTGGAAACTGTAAAGAATTTGCATAAGAATATAGATGAGCACTCTGTAAGCAGAAACCATTTCAGACCAAGATATATTCTAATGCAAAAATGGATGGCAAGGCCTGGCAATGGTGGAATGAAAGTGCATTTAATGACTGCTTTGCAGTGAAAATGATTAAGGGAATATTTCTGTTCATGAGAGAGGCAATTTTGCTTGTAGATAAATAACTGTGTTGTTAAATTAATGTGAAATGTTAAGGTTTAGGTTTTAACATTTCAGGGGAGGTGGTGATGTACTCATAAAATCATTGGAGTAGTAATCCAAACACCTAGGCTGTGGGACATAGTTTCAAATCTCACCAAGGCAACTGGTGGAGTTTAAATTCAGTTAATAAATCCGGAATATAAAGCTATTCTCAGTAAAGATACCATGAAGCTACCATCGACTATTGTTAAAAACCCAACTGGTCCACTAATGCTCTTTGGGCAAGCAAGTGTGCCATTCTCACCTGGTCTAGCCTATATGTGACTCCAGACCCAAAGCAATGTAGTTTACTTTTAACTGCCCTCTGTCAGGTCATTCAGTTCAGGGGCAGTTTGGAAGGGGCAGCAAATGCTGGCCTTGTAAATGATGCTCACGTCACATGGAAGAATAAAGAAAAGTAATCACAATGCTAATTTGAATATCTTCTTTATGTCCTGGGCCTATGCATCAATCATCTGTGAACTAAAATATAATTAGAATGTCTTTTTTTAAGAATTAGAATTAGTCTTTATTGTCATTGGTACTGAAGTACACGGATACAGGGGTGCAGTAAAAAGTCTATAATATTGCCATTCACGGCAACATCTTAGGTACAAGGTACCTAGCTACAAAATCTTAGGTAAAGAGTAGAAAAATAAAGAAATAAGTCAAAAATTCAACGTAACAGCTTGTGTCAGTGTAAAGTAGCAAATAAAAAAAAAGTTAAAGTTTTCAAAGTACAGGTCTTCTTTAGCCAAGGCTATCTTTACAGACAAAATAAGAAAAAGCACAACTCAGGTCAATATAGAGAATAAAACAAATTTCTCAAATAGTAAAGCAAAATACTACAAGGCTTTAACCCTGAAACAAACACAGAGAATGCTAGAGAAACTCAGTAGGTCTGACAGCATCTGAGGAGAAAGGAACAGAGGCTGGTACCAAGTACCACATCCAATATAACCATGATGATTATATTCATAAGCTGGTTTGATAGATTTTTGAAAACCAAGGGCATTGAGGGAGCTCGGTTGAGGTGGGAGATCAGCCATTGAATAGTGGAGCAGGTCAAAGGCCTATTTATTATGTTCTTATGTGCTGAGATGAGGGGAGAAAGAATGCAGTCTGCCTACAAGACAGCAGATTGAGAAACCAACATGGGGTTATGATGCAGGGTCCTTACTCCAAAGGAAGTATCATAGTTCAAACACACACTGTGTGTGGAGCAGCATTGACAATATCGATACGAGTTTACATAGACAAAACCACTGATCAACCAGAACTCATAGAGAACAAGCTTAGCGTGGAGAGCTCAAAACAGGAAGCTGAAACAACCATTCCTTTGTTCAATAAATTCACAGAGCACTTTTCTTGTAGAATCATTCATCAGGATGGTTATACCAAGGAAGAATGTTTAGCCTTTATTTCCATTATCAATGGCAACATTCTGCAGTCTATCCTGGCTATCATTCGTGCCATGTCGACCATTGGAATCGATTATGGGGACTCTGCAAATGTGGTGAGCACATATTCTGGTTCAGATATTTTATAGAGGAAGAACCTTTGGGAGTACACTGCTCTAATTAATGTTCTGATGTAAATGGGCAAGAATAGTCCAATATATTTAACAATGTAACATTTTAACGAAACTTACAGAGGATATGAGGTAGTGCTATATAAACATAAGCCTCTACCATGCACAAGAACATTGAACATTGTGATCATAATGTTTCTGCTTTTGGACCACACCTGAAAGCGAGAGAGTTTGAGGGTGGGAACAACCATCACGTCCTCCACCGCCCCAGCTCACCTTTCTCAGAGAACCCACTGGACTAAACCAGGCAGTTGATTGGCTGCTGGTGGGTTTTCTGCCAGAATTATGAAGCTGGAATAAGCAGTCCCACTTTATCTCAAACTGCTGACTATTAGAGTTTAACACATCCAGACCATAGCAGTCCCACATTGAGACCATGTCTGCAGCTGGGACATGACCCTCTGGACCCTCAGATGAAGGATCAGAAGTGAGAAAGGTTGATATTGTTTGGGGATAGTTTTGGGTTATGGAGTGAGTTTGGCAGAGATGTCTAAAGCAAAGGCATATGGGTGGCTCTCTCCTAGGCTGAGTTGCAGTCTTTTTCTTTAATTCACTTATGGGATGCAGCCAGTATTTATTGTCCTGGTAGTGAGTGGCTTGCTGGGCCATTTTAGAGAGCATTTAAGAGTCAACCACATTGTTGTAGTTCTGGATTCACCATGTAAGCCAGATCAGGTAAGGTCAGCAGATGATAACCCCTTTAGGACATTAGTTAAATGGGTTTTTAATGAAAGTACTACGGATGCTGTATTAATCAGAAACGACAACAGAAATTGCTGGAAAAGCCAGCAGGTCTGGCAGCATCTGTGAAGAGAAGTCAAAGTTAATGTTTCAGGTCCAATGACCCTTTCTCAGTGCGGGTTCTTCGGCTCTGAGGAAGGGTCACCGGACCTGAAACGTTAACTCTGATTTCTCTTCATAGATGCTGCCAGACCTACTGGGCTTTTCCAGCAATTTCTGTTTTTGTTTTGGGCTTTTACGACAATTGGCAATGGTCTGCATTAAGCTAGCTTTTATCTCCAGATATAAATTTCACCATGTTGCAGGGTGAGATTTGATCCTACAACGCTAGTGTATTAGGCTGGGGTTCTGATTATTAATCCAGTGGCATTACTCCCCTTAAATTAGTACAAATGGAGGCACTCCCAAACTATAAACTGACAGCCTGCCTACACGTGTTTCTCAGTCGGTTTTTTCTCACCCTGTCTGGACCTGAAGTAAATACAGTGCAATTCCAATGAAGCTCCTAAGTGGTCATTAGCAAGTGCCAGGGTGGGATAGTTAACCATGAGCCTTTCCATCCAGAGGTTAATTGCTGATGTGATAGGAAGAGGGTGGGTATCTCCCTGGTGCCAACACACCCACTTGCTGTATTTTGTTCCCAGTGCTTCTCGGGAAGGGAAATATCCCAGTTCTGTGTGTTCGTGCTTCAACTCTCACAGTCAGAAAGTACACAGCTCTGGTTTCCCCAATCACTCCTTTTGGCATTTTGCGGGAGAAGATGCACATTCTGGTTGTACCTTCCTAATATGTTTTTGAAAATCTTGGCACTTGACGTGATACGTTTAAATTTCATGCAGGTGGGAGCATTGCTGGAATGTCACCGCAGCACTTAAACTCAAAGTTTGACAATATAATGCTGAACAGTGTCCAAGTAGACGTGATCCCAACAAATCAATAATGACCACTTTCTTACTATGTTGACGCGTATTGACACTGTAGCTCTTTCTGGAGCTGGTACAGACACGATGGGCTGAATGGCCTACTTGTGTACTGTAAAATCCTATGATTCTACTTCACATTCAAATTGACTAATCCTAGTTTTAAGAAACTCCACAGACTTAAGAAAAATTTCATACACTGAGCTAAGCACAGACCCCAAAGGGCATGCCTTCAACTCGGGAGATCAAATAAGGTTGGGGATTCTTAGCAACTACAGCACTGGAAAAGGTCTGTCTGTCCTTTCTTAAGTGGTCAGTGGTGAATTCCCCTGGTCACAAGGGCCAGTTTAGGCAGTGAAGCAGCTTGTGTTTTGCTTGCTTAACTAAAAGGCAGGGTAATGACTTTAAGTTGTAAAGGGCCATCAGACAATAAATGACCCTTCCTGATATCAACAGCATTGGGAATTTTTTCTAATGAACCTGTTCAGAGATATAATTACAAACTTCTGGAGCAGTTGGGGCTTGAAACTGGGTCTCCTAACTTAGAGGTAAGGACATTACCATAATGCCTCATGAGCTGGGAATAACCATTTCTGCTCTCCAATTTTCTAACTCATGATGTTGTTCTTGTTTGTGTTACCAGGAAGCTGGGAGGCAGCTCTTTAATCTTGCAGATTCTGTTGAAGAGGGAACCATGCCCAAGGAACTGGTGGATGTTGTAAAGAAGCTGTGGACGGACTCTGGAGTTCAGGCCTGTTTCGAGAGGGCAGCTGAGTATCAGCTCAATGACTCGGCCTCGTAGTACGTCCCACTACAAAGGCAGTGTCTGGCGAATGTTTCCTTTGTGGTTGGTTGGCCCGCCAAGCTGGTTCGTTGTTGTTCTGCAGACATTTCATTACCCTGCTGGGTAACATCATCAGTGCATCCTCCGACGATCCGCTTGGCGAGCCAACCAACCACAACATCCACAACCCGAGCTACAAATCTACTCTAAAATGTTTTCTTTTTCCGACATTGTATCAGGAATGCACTCAGTGTGGATAACTGTGAAGTCATCAGAAAGCAACTGGTAAAGCCTTATCGTTCTGTTATTACTGGAATAATATCCCACCTGTACACTCCCAAAATTGGCTTTTGCTTTTCCATGAGAGGTAGAAGCAGCCATGGAGAGGGTGTTTCCTTTTATGGGGGAATGTAGCACTCAGGGTTACTGTTTAAAAATCAGTGCCACCCATTGAAAACAGAATATGACGCAGTTTTTTTCTCTCTCGCAGCGGCCGTAATTTTGAAACTATTTGTGCAAAGGGAGTGGAAGGAGACTCTGAATATTTTTAAGTCAGAGGTGGATAGATTCTTATTAAGCAAGGTGGTGGAACTGGGGTAGCCAGGTGAAATAACCAAGCCACCCTTTATTTACACGTGGACTGTGAACAGCTAACTCAGAGCCAGTCCCTATACTGAGGAGAATCCTTGGGACTTTATATCTGTCAGCCAGGGCTCCCTGACTGGCCCAGGTTAGCAGCTCCATTCAGGGAACTCATTCTCAGGTCCACCTGGGTGACCTCGTTCCAATCACTACACCAGGAATGTAGATTTGAGTTAGAATCAGATCAACAATGATCTTACTGAATGGTAGTGCAGGCTTGAGGGGCTGAATGGCCTACTCCTTGTTTGTACGTGCTCATAGCTTGTAGGTTTTGTCTGATTGTATATGACTGTGAGGTAGAGCTCAGTCTTATAAACTAATTAAATTGCTTGAGAAGGTATAGCTCATCCCAACATTGGCAGGTATGTTGGAGTTGCCAGGATAGTATGGAATATGTTGAATCTCACCTGACTAATCATTCTAACCACATTACACTTAGCATCTCCAAATTTACATTCGAAACATTAATATAAAGCATTGCAGAGGTCTGAAAGACAGCGGAAAGTATTCATTCATCACTTTATAAATGACTGGTATTGTTCTGGAAATTCTTTTCAGACGAGGTTCTTTATTCCACAGTGGCAGGAAGTCCTTGGATAGGGTCACTGATCATAATTACTTTTGTTAGTAGTGCAGCTAAATGTGTGAAGTGCAGTAACACCTCTCCTTATGGTGATTAGCAGTGTGCTGTTATGTGCACTTAGGCATTGCTTACTTAAGCAAGTGAACCCAAATACATAGCACCCAAGGGATGATGTTGTAAATTCATAAGGCTTAGTTGAGCATGGTTTGTGTAAACATGATTTCACAGCGGAACCCATGTGGTTTCCTTTATAAACTGTAATAGTACTGAGGACGTTCACATGTCAGAATAGGAAACAGACTGTAGTAAAGACTACAACTTTAAGACTACTATGTCTTAAAGTTGTAAACTCTTTGCTTAAGTAGAATGATTCCTTTTGTTTTCAGGGCCTGTTACTAAGTTTAACCATGGCATCATGAGTTTTTGTTGTTCATTCATGAGATGTGGATGTCACTGGTTAAGCCTTGATTATTGCCAAAGCCTAATTACTTTTGAGAAGTTTGACGGATATATTTATTTCATGAACTGGAAAACGACTTTCAGCACAAACACACTTGGCCCTTTTTCATTGAAGAGTCCTATTAACCACCTCCTTCAATCTTTCAATCCCTTGTGACTCTTTGAATATATCTGATAATTCATGAGCATAATTAAAAATTTCCTTCAATTGCCTTCCTAGTTACTGAGTTTGCAACTACTTTCTTCTTTGAAAACATTCTCTTTGACTTCTGTATCTAATTCTAACTTCCTTATTTTAACATACTTAGTTTTGGAAACATTCACCATAGTTAAAAATTTAGATTAATTTTATCAATATTCTTCTTAATCTTGAAAATATATACTTTTTACATTGAAGTATCCTCCTGATTATGGCTGAACTAATCATGCTCTCCCCTATATCTTATAACCAGATTAATCTTCTTGCAATTAAAAATTTCACTGGATGGTAATGTGTGTACTCTAATGAGCTCACTTTTAATCATTTCTTTTAAATTACTTCTAATTATTCACCTTTTTAAATTTCAACAACTCTTTTTCACAATAGTTCGCACATGTGCCAGAAGTAATATTCTAATCATTTTGAATGATGTTAACCTGAAAGATAATTAGTTTCAATTCCCAGTGTGGAGGTGTTTTACATTTCAGTGCTGTGGGAAAATTCATTCAGAGAATTAAAATAGGTTATTGTGCAGTAAGAAAGAACATTAATTTCTATAGTACCTTCCATAACACAAAGCCTGTCCATCATCTACAATACACAAGTCAGGAGTGTGATAGAACACTCCTCACTTGCCTGAAGGGTGCAGCTCCAATAACACTCCAGAAGCTTGACACTATCCAGGACAAAGCAGCTTGCAAGATTGGCACCAAATCCACAAACATCTACTTCCCTCACCACCAGGCCTCAGCAATAGTAGTGTGTACTATCTACAAGATGCAATGCAGAAATTAACCAAAAATCGTTAGAAAGCACCTTCCAAACCCACAACTACTTCCATCCAGAAGGGCAAGGTCAGCAGGTACAGAAGCCTAGCACTATCTGCAAGTTCCCTTCCAAAGCACTCACCATCCTGACTTGGAAATATATCACTGTTCCTATGCTGTCTCTGGGTGAAAATCCTGGAATTCCCTCCACAAGGGTATTGAGGGTTTACCTACAGCATGTGGACTTCAGCGGTTTAAGAAGGCACCTCACTGCCACCTCAACAAGCCTGGTAGCATCTGTGAAGAGAGTTCAGACCAGATTGAAATGTTTGCTCTGTTTTCTCTCCATAGATACTGACAGACCTGTTGTGTTTCTCCAGCATTTTCTCTGTTTGTTCCAATTTCCAGTAGTATTTTACCTATATTTGTGTATCATTAGAACATATGGCTTCGACTTTAGAGTGAGCAGATATGAATCAAGATTGTATAGAAATACAATTCTGTTCTCTCTATCAGCTACTTGGATAATTTGGAGAGAATCACTGCCGCTGGCTACGTTCCAAACGAGCAAGATGTTTTGAGATCAAGAGTTAAGACCACGGGTATTATTGAAGAACAATTCTCCTGTCAGGACCTGCACTTCAGGTAAACAGCTGCATGGTTTTAGAATGTAGCCTACGCCTCCGCTAAAATGAATGCAATTATGAGTTGTAGTACCATGCCCACCTAACAATGTGGTCCATCAGGCAGAGTTTAGAATGAATCCCATTAACACTCAGACTCAGTGAACCAACTGAAATCTTTGTGCAGTGAGTGCTGTGCTGTGGCTCATTGTTTTGTGTCTTATGGTTTCCTAAATATGCAGGATTTTGTAAAAAAAACAGAAATTAGATTGTTTGCACAACTCTCCTCTAAATTAAATACAGTTCTGTGTATTTCTCTTAAGTTGTGGCCACAAAGAAGTTGGATTTACACCTTATGAAATATTCCTTGGGTGAATCTTGAAGCCCATGGTATTCATTATCTGCATTGCTGCACAGGATGTACAGTTTATGAGTAATTTATTTTCGTCAGGATGAAGGGTGTTAGCGTTAGGGAATTGAACTGTATCTGCAGCTAGAAACTAGTGCTAGCAGTAAGCAGTCCCATGCCTGCTGCCATACACCCAGAAACAGAGTAAATCTCCCATTTCTGAAGAAGGGTCTAGGCCTGAAACGTTAGCCTTCCTGCTCCTCTGATGCTGCTTGGCCTGCTGTGTTCATCCAGCTCTACACCTTGTTATCTCAAATCTCCCCACAACTGGTTTCCAACATGCCTCAGCTTAAATGAGAAAATCATTTGATGTGACCCTTTTCATACTGACCATCCTATGGCCCCTCCTGAATGTGATTGTCAATGAAGATAGCATTGACGACAAAGTGAACAAGGTTCAAACTCATTTAGGAACCAAATTAAGATCACTAAAACAATTTCGCATAGGATCCTTATGGTCAGCGTAAAAGACATTAGTCTCATCAAGCTGGACTGGGTTGAAGCCAAGATCCCAAATGCGAATGGCTAACATCTGATCTATTATTGCACTGAAGCTCGGCATTTGAGAAGGATCCCATCAAATGGGCCAAAAATTTTCTTTTATCTTAAATATCCAATTAAAGTTTAAGAAAAATAAACAACTACAAGGGCAGCACAGTGGCTCAGTGGTTAGCACTGCTGCCTCAGTGCCATCGATCTGGGTTTCATTCCTGCCTTGGACGACTGTCTGTGCAAACACCTCCCATTCTCCCCATGTTTGTGGAGGTTTCTACCAGGTCTGACTTCCTTCCACAGTCCAAAGATGTGCAGGTTAGGTGGATTGGCCATGCTAAATTACCCATAATGCCCAGGGATGTGCAGGCTAGACAGATTAGCAGAGTTATAGGGATAGGGTAGCAGGGTGGGTCTAGGTGGGATGCTCTTTGGAGGGCTGGTGTAGACTTGATGGGCCAAAGGGCCTGCTCCCACACTTTAAGGACTCTATATTTCATCTGAAACAAAATATTTTGCCGTATAATTTCAAAAGAATACATTCCAATTCCATAGGTTCTATTCTGCACTTGTTCAGCATAATTATGAAGTGATAATCCTTCTTAGGTTCTTAAAACACTAATGCAGCTAATGTATTAATTTCTGCTGTAACTCAGAATGTTCGATGTTGGTGGACAAAGGTCAGAGAGGAAGAAGTGGATCCACTGTTTTGAAGGAGTTACCTGCATTATTTTCTGTGGTGCTCTCAGTGCATATGACATGGTGCTGGTTGAGGATGATGAAGTGGTATGTAATTTTAATTGTGTGTTCACAAAACCAATCCAATGGGATAGTTCAAAACAAAAATTGGAGGATTTAACATGTGTCATGTGGTGTCCTAACATTTTCAAATCCTCATGAGGTAAGAGAGGAGAAAAAGCCAAGAAGTTTTAGGTGGACTTATTGGACAAAAGAACTTGCAACGTATCTTTTTTCCATCGTAAGGTTAGAAATGGGATGTTTGTTAATGATTGCACAATGCTCAGTACCATTTGTGACTTCTCAGACACTGAAGCAGTCCATGTTCAAACACAAGACCTGAGCAATGTTCAGACTTGGACTGACAAGTAATAAGTAACATTCACGCCACACAAATGCAAGGCATCCCTAATAAGAGAAAATCTAAACACCACCCCTTTGCATTCAATGGTGTTACCATCACTGAATCCCCCACTATGAACATTTGTGGTTATGATTCAGCAGAAATTGAACTGGACTTGCCATATAAGTACAATGACAGGCAGCCAGAGGCTAGGAACACTGCAGTGAATAATTCACCTCCTGATTCCCCAAAACTTGTCCACTATCCAAAATCTACAAGTCAGGAATGTGATGGAATACAACCCACTTGCCTGGGTGGGTGTAGCTCCAATAATATTCAAGAGGCTTGACAACATCCAGGGCAAAGCAGCCTGCTTGATTGACACAACATCCACAAACATCTGCTCTCTCTACCACCAACGTTCAGTAGCAGCAGTGTGTACTACCTACAAGATGCACAGCAGAAATTCACCAACGTTCCTTTGACTGGACCTTCCAAACCCACAACCACTGCCATCTGGAAGGATAACGGCAGTCGATACATGGGAACACCAGCACCTGTAGGTTCCCCTCTAAGCCATTCCCCATTCTGACTTGGAAATATGTCACCATTCCTTCCCTGTCGCTGGGTGAAAATCTTGGAATTCCCTCACTAAGGACATTGTAGGTCATGGACATGCAGCAGTTCAAGAAGACAGCTCAATACCACTTTCTCAAGGTCAACTAGGGACAGGCAATAAATGCTGGTCCAGCCAGCAACACCCACATTCTCACAAAAGAATTAATAAAGGCAACGGCCACTTTTAGTGCTATAAGATTCTAAAATTCTGACACTTTAAACAAATGACAGCATGTCAAAACACAAGAATGGATATATTTCGAAGGACATGCATTTTCTAGACAATATAATTGCATGAGATGAGGTTCAGTGAGACCAAAGTGGATACCAATTGAGTGGTGTCAGTTCAAAGCGGGTCCTGAGCTATTTCCATGAGTGCCTTTCTGCCTATGACTGAAATGTGCTGAATTTAATGTAATGCAATGTCAAATAAATGGTTATATGTCAGGTTCATTCAGCCATGAAGCATCTATGTCTCAGGTACAATCATTGCTGTGTTAGTTGTTCGAGCTTCATCTGGAAGAACTGTGATCAGAATGTGCGAGGATTGATTCAGAGCTTTATTTTACTGCATCAGACATTAAACCAAAATATAATAGCTCTGTCACTGTGCTAAATTTCAGTAGAGGTGAAAGCCACTGTAAGAACTGATGTACCAAGGACAGATGTCTCATAAAATTGGCCCTGCTGATTACTGAGCAGTTTTTAAGAAAACTTACTAAAAATAAACGCGACAGGCACACAAAATTAAGCACGGGGAATAGTCAGTGGCAGCAACATGTATTCATGCATCTAGCATCTGTAATTTTTTTGCCTAGGCAGTAACTGTGCCAAACAATGATTTCATGTTAAATTGCAAATTAATATTTTATTAAAAGCTGGTCCAACATGTTGTGTTGGAATTATGATTAAACAATTGTGGAAAGCTTCATTTCAGCTCGTGACCTACACTAATGATGAATAATTAACATTCTGAGCAATTTCCTGGTGAATAATGAACCTTATATTGGGAAAATAAAATGAAGAACTATGGATGCTGGATCTCTGAAAGAAGCAAAAACAGAAATTGCTGGAGAAACTCAGCAGGCCTGGCAGCATCTGTGGAGAGAAAGAGTTAACTATTCAAGTCAACTCATCCTTTTTGTTTGGGTTCTGATGAACAGTCACTGGTCTCGAAATGTTAACACTGTTTCTCCCTCCACAGATGCTGACCGACCTTCTGAATTTCTCCAGCAATTTTTGTTTTTGTTTGACTCTTATTAAGAGAGCTGGTTCAGACATACGGTGTCTGGATCAGTGCTGGGACCTTTGTTATTTGTAATTTACATAAATGATCTGGATGTGAATGTACAAGGCATGATTAGTAAGTTTGCGGATGATACAAAATTAGAAGGTATTTTTGATCGTGAGGAAAGTTATCAAAAATTACAGAGGAATCTTGATCAGATGGGGAAGATTGGCAAATGCAATTCAATAGATAAGTGTGAGGTATTGCACTTTAGAAACTCAAACAAGGTAGGACTTACACAGTAAATGGTAAGATCGTGAGGAGTGGAGCTGGAGGAACACAGCAAGTCAGGCAGCTTCAGAGGAGCAGGAAAGCTGACGTTTTGGGTCAGGACCCTTCTTCAGAAAAATCCATCTGAAGAAGGGTCCCGACGCAAAATGTCAGCTTTCCTGCTGTGTTCCTCCAGCTCCGCACTGTGTTATCTCAGACTCCAGCATCAGCAGTTCTTACTATCTCTGAGATCCTGTGGAGTGTTGTGGAACAGTGGGACCTAGAAGTACAAGTTCATTTTAGTCATAAGTGGCATCACAGGTGGACAGGGTGGTGAAGAAGGCATTTAGCATGCTAGCCTTCATTGGTCGAGGCATTGAGTATAGGAGTTGGGACATTATTTGACAGTTGTATAAATCGTTGGTGAGGCGGCACTTGGGGTATTGTGTACAGTTTTTGTCACTGTGTTATAGGAAAGACATAGTTGAACTGGAAAGTGTACAAAGAAGATTTACGAGGATGTTGCCAGGACTAATAGGCCTGAGTTATAGGGAGATGTTGGCCAGGATAGGACTTCATTCCTCGGAACATAGGACAATCTTATTGAGGTGTATAAAATCATGAGGGGCATAGATTGGATGAATGCATATAGTCTTTTTCCCAGGAATGGGGAATTGAAAACTAGAGGGCATAGTTTAAAGTGAGAGGGAAGAGATTTAAGAAGGACCTGAGGGGCAACTTGTTTACGCAACTGTGGGCTGCCAGAGAAAGTGGTTGAGGCAGCTACAATAGCAAAATTTAAAAAACATTTGGATAGGTACATTGATGGGAAGGGTTTAGAGGGATATGAACAAAAGGAGGGCAATTGGAACTATCTGAGGAGGCACCATGGTCAGCATGGACAAATTTGGGCCGAAGGGCCTGTTTCCATGCTGTATTACTCTATGATTCAATATGTTCAGAATTCCCTTCCCTCCTGGTAATGAAGCTCCCATCTTAGCTCTCAATCTCCAATTTTCTTCTATCATTCCATCGTTGACCGCACAATCTTCAGCTGCATGGGTCCCAAGTTCTCAAATTCAAAACGTCTCTCATTCCCAAACCTCCCACCTCTCTGCCTCCTCCATTAAGACATTCCTTTAAACTTTGATGGAGCTTTTCTCACCTGTTGTGTATCTCCCTATATGGCTCATGCTTAATTTTGTTTAATTTATTTTGTCCCAAAGAACTTTAAATATGCAATGGAAATGCAAGTTTCTCTCACAGCACCCCTCTCACTTAGAGACTTGATCTAATTTGAGGCAAATTGGGTTCCAATTGAGCTGTTAATGTCAAAGGCAAATCACAGGTATAAGTCATCTTTAGGTTGGATTATTCAACTCAAGGAAGTTACATTTGATAATTAACATCAAATCCAAGGGCATTAACACCACAGAGGGCCTAATGCAGAATTGAAAAAAAAAAATTGCGTGATTAATGGGGAACTGTTCCTCCTGTTATGATTCAGACTCTCCCCTCTCTGGAGTCTGGGGAGCTCCCCAGTGTGGAGCTGGAGGAACACAGCAGGTCAGGCAGCATTAGAGGAACAGGAAAGTCAATGTTTTAGGTTAGGACCCTTCTCCCTGACCCGAAACGTCGACTTTCCTACTCCTCTGGGGAGTATTTTTTTGGAAGTGTCACAGGATATGGGTGTCACCAGCTAAGCCAGGACACTCCTAATTGCTCTTGAGGAAGTGGTGGGGAGCTGCCTTCTTGAACTACTGCTGTCCATTTGTTGTAAGGCCACCCACAATGCTGTTAGGTAGAGAGCTCTATGATTATGGTGCAGTGAGGAAGAAGGAATGGCAGTAAAGTTCTAAGTCAGGATGGTGTGTGACTTGTGGGGAAACCTGCAGGTGGTGGTGTCCCATATATCTGCTGCCTTTGTTCTTCTACGTCATAGAGGTCATAGGTTTTGTAGGGGCTCTCAAAGAAGCTTCAGTAGATTGCTTTAGTGCACCTTGTAAATGGTAAACACTGCTGCCAAAGTATGTTGGTGATGAATGTCATGCTTTGTCCTGGGTGGTGTTGAACTTTGTGAATGCTGTTGAAGCTGCATGCATCCAGGCATGTGGAGAGATGGGAGGTGAATTACTGAGCACAAGTTCTTAACCTCTGACATCTCTTGTCGCCACAGTATTTTTATGGCTGGGAGATAGCAAGAACTGCAGATGCTGGAGTCAGAGACAACACAGTGTGGAGCTGGAGGAACACAGCAGGTCAGGCATCAGAGGAGTAGGAAAGTCGACGTTTCGGGTCGGGACCCTTCTTCAGTACCCTTCTTCCTGACCTGAAACGTTGACTTTCCTACTCCTCTGACTCTGCCTGACCTGCTGTGTTCTTCCAACTCCACAATGTGTTGTCTCTATTTTTATGGCTGGTCCAGTTCTGTTTCTGGTCAATGGTAATTCTCAAGATGTTAGATGTTCCAAAGACTCAACAATCCTAATGTCATTGACTGTCAAGATGGTAATAATCAATACGTTTACACTGAAAGAGCTGCCTTCCTTCAATATCCTGGGCAACAATTAATCCAAATGATATCCACCTAATGCCTGAAACTTACTCACTTAGAGCTCCCCTGCCTATTAATTCTTAATAGGCCTATCATGTGTTTTGACTCCTGAATCCCAAACCTTTATCTCTGGTATATAATGGCAAAGGTCCTTAGGAATTCTTATTTGATAAGTAGAGAGGTCAGCAAGGAAGTTTGTTAAACACCATCCAGTGGTCCCCAGCATCGCAGATGCCAGTCTTTAGCCAATTCGACTCACTCCATGTGAAGAAATGGTTGGAGGCATTGGATACTGCAAATTCCATGGGCCCTTACAACATTCCGGCAATAGTGCTGAAGACTTGTGCTCCAGAACTTGCTGCATCCCCTAGTCAAGCTGTTTCGGCCCAGCTATAACACAGGCATCTACCTGACAATATGGAAAATTGTCCAGAAAAATTTCCCAGTCTACTCTTGATCATCAGTAAAGTGATGGAAGGTGTCATCAACAGTGCTATCAAGCAGCACCTGTTCAGCAATGACCTGCTCAGTGACGCCCAGTTTGGGTTCTGCCAGGGTCACTCAGCTGCTGATCTGATTACAACCTTGATTCATACGTGGACAAAAGAGCTGAATTCTAGCAGTGAGATGAGAGCAACAGCCCTTGATATAAAGGCTACATTTGACCAAGTGTGGCATAAAGGAGCCCTAGCAAAGCTGGAATCAGTGGACAAACTCTCTGCTGGTTGGAATGATATCTGGCACACAGGGAGATGCTTGTGGTTGTTGGAGGTCTGTCATCTCAATTTGAGGATATTTCTACAGATGTTCGGTAATGTCTGGGATCCCACCATCTTCATCTGCTTCATCAATGACCTTCTCTCCATTATAAGGTCAGACGTGGGATGTTCATCGATGATTACACAATTCCTGCAACATTTCCTCAGATAATGAAGCAGCAGATATTCCAATGCAGCAATACCTGGCCAATATCCAGGCTTGGGTTTACAAATATAAAATAAAGTTTGCACCATACGAATACTAGGCAATATCCATCTTCAAAAAGAGACAAACTAACCACCATCCCTTGACATTCAATGGTGTTACCATCACTACATCACCTGCTATCAATGTCCTGGTGGGTTATCATTGACCAGAAACTCAACTGGAATCGCTATATAAATACAGTAGCTAGAAAAGCAGATCAGAAGCTAGGAACACTGTGGCAAGTAACTCACCTCCTGACTCCTTGAAACCTGTCTACCATCTACAAAGTACAAGTCAGGGGTGTGATGAAATACTCCCCACCTTACTAAATAGGTGCAACTCCAACAACATTCAGGAAGCTTGACATCATTCAGGTCAAAACAGGAACTTCTCACAGAAATGGTTTCTCTTTGGAACACTCTTCCTCAAAAGATGGTGGAAGCAGATTGTGAATCTGTTTAAGGCAGAGGCAGATTCTTCTGAAGAGAAATACTTGATCTAAAGCCTTTTCTGTTTCTCTCTCCACAAATGCTGCCAGACCTGTTGAGTTTCTCCAGCATTCACTGTGTTTGTTTGTGATGTCCAGAATCTGCAGTATGCTATTTTTATGTTGACAAGGGTAGGTGGCAATGTGGAATAATCAGATCAGCTGTGACCTTATTGAATGGAGAAGCAGGCTTTGTAGATGCTGAGTAGCCTACTCCTGTCCTAATTCATATGTTTATATGTGCTGTATTTTAAATCCATGTGCTTCCATCAATGGAAAGAAAATCCCACTCTTTAATAGAGTAAAAAACATTTAGTTATGTTCTATAGCCACCTCTCTGCTTTCAGGAAACAATCCGACATTCCCAAGTCACTGCACACATCCGTCCACCACCCTAATTAAGATTCCAATAAGTCTGTACCTTCTCCAAAACATTTCTTTCTCTCAAAAGTGTACAGCCCAGAGTTGTACACAATCTTCTAGCTGAGCCCACCCACTGGCTTATACATTTTTTTTTATTCACTTGTGGGACATGCGTGTCACTGTCTGGTCAGCATTTATTGCCCATCCCTAGTTGCCCCCTGGAGAAGGAGGTGGTGAGCTGCCTTATTGAACTGCCGCAGTTCATGTACGTAGGTTGACTCACAATGCCCTTAGGGAGGGAATTCTAGGATTCTGATTCAGCAACAATGAATTAACACAAACATATTTCCAAGTCAGGATAGCGAGTGGCTTGAAATGGAGCTTACAGATGGTGGTGTCCCCATGTATCTGCTCGTCTTGTCCTTCTAGATGGAAGTGGTCATGAGCTTGGAAGGTGCTGTCTAAGGATCTTTGGTGAATTTCTGAGTTCATCCTGTAGATGGAACACACTGCTGCTAACTGAGTATCAGTTGTGGAGAAAGTGGATGTTTCTGTATGTGGTGCCAATCAAGTGGTAAGACAACTGGGAAGTAACGTCATTTTTGAAAGAAATCTTGTGAATTAAGACCTGGACTACATTCGCTGTCTGAAGAGATGCAGGAAGTAAATTAAATAGGAATCTTTATAAGAGATTTGAACATGAACTTGAAAAGAAAAATTTTGTAGGGCAACCATGTGGATAAAGCAGTGAAGTTGGTTTAATCAATAACTTTTTCAAGAATTTCTTTTAAGCATGGCTGACCAAAATCACTTGCTATTCAGTAGGAAATGACTCCAATTTCTGTCTGTAATGTTGAACAAACACTTTCCAAAAAACAGATCAGAAAGTGCTCAATTGTGGAAGATGTTGAGATAAGTTAGATAAGTTAGAAAGATGGCGGGATGCAAGGGTTGTGGAACAAAACATAGACTTTTATTTTACATAGAAGATACAACACAAAAACAGGATAATTGGTCAAAAACTACTGTACCCTCGTGTTTATGCTTCATGTGAGTCTCCCACCTCCTCTCTTCATATGACTCTACCAATATGCTCTTCCATTCCTTTCTCCATCATCTATCTATTTCATCTGATGAAGCAGCAGCGCTCTGGAAACTTGTGATTTCAAATAAACCTGTTGGACTATAACCTGGTGATAACAAGGTGTAGAGCTGGATGAACACAGCAGGCCAAGCAGCATCAGAGGAGCAGGAAGGCTCTTCTAAGGATGCCTAACCCCACTGCGAAGCCTCTTCTAAGGTTGCCTCAGACTCTCCAGCATCTGCAGTTCCTACTATCTCTGAAACAATTTTAACCCCACTGCGAAGCCTCTTCTAAGGATGCCAGCCTTCCTGCTCCTCTGATGCTGCTTGGCCTGCTGTGTTCATCCAGCTCTACACCTTGTTATCTCAGACTCTCCAGCATCTGCAGTTCCTACTATATCTGGACTATAACCTGGTGTTGTGTGACTTCTGACTTTGTCCACCCAGCCCAACACCATCACATCTATTTATTTGGCAGCTCCTTAAACACATCTAGTCTATTTGCCTCAACTATTCCTTGTGGTATATATAGAATAAGGGGGTTAAGTCTACATGGTATACAATGGAGACAAAATATACATCATCACAGATAGTGATGCAAAGACAAATGAATTTGCTCTTTCTTGCAGCTTTGTGGCAAGATAAAGCCACAATAAGATGTTTTTTAAATGAAGTTAATTCATCTTACCTCAGTGGACTCTGTCAGTAATCTTTAGCAGCATGAAACCAAGAATATTATTGCAGTACAACCATTCTCCGGGTCAAGAATTTTCTCCTGAACTCCCTACTTTTCCACTTTATGTTTTCCTTCCCTTAGCACAGTAAAACGGTAACATGATTTCTGTCTGTCCACTTATTCCCACCAGAACCGAATGCATGAGAGTCTCCATCTCTTCAACAGTATTTGCAACCACAGATACTTTGCAGCTACCTCCATTGTGCTGTTTCTGAATAAGAAGGATCTTTTTGAGGAAAAAATCAAAAAAGTTCATTTGAGCATCTGTTTCCCGGATTATGACGGTACTTTCCATTTTTTCCCCTTGATTTCTTGGAGGAAAGTATGTTCAGTAGGTTCAGATAGATAACATAGACAACCTATTTGTTACTCAGTTCAAATTATTCAATATTTGACCTTCAAATGTCCTCCATTATTTTTAAAATGTAACTGTTGGGGTTAGGCCATTTGACTATTTTACTGGCTGATACCTGATTAAATTTGTTACTGAGATTCCAAATTCAGACGGACTATCAAATACATGGGCAATGACTGGTGCTGCTATCAATCATCCTGTGTCAGCTGTTCACAAGACATCATTTATTAGGAAGAATCAGCTGTCAGTACTGTGTTGAGATACTTTAGCAACTTAGGAGTAGGCCATTCTGTTTGCTGAGCCCACTCTGTCATTCAATTAGATCACAGCTGATCATTTATCTCAATGCCACTCTCAAGCACAGCCTTCACATCCCTTGCTGACATTAGTCTTCAGTCTTCTATTGATTTCAGTCTTGAACATGTTTACTGATTAAGCTTCTATAGCCCTCTGAGACAGAGTATTCTAAAGATTCACCACTCTCTGAGTGAAGACGTTCTTCCTCATCTTGTAATTTGATCAATCCTAAAGTGGTTTACCCATTATTCTTAGATAAGTTCCCACGGTTCAAACTCACCGGCCAGAGGCATCATCCTGTCTTGACTCTGCCATACCCTGTAAGAATTCTATAAGTTTCAATAGGATCACCTTTCAACTTTGGAAATGTAGGTCCAGTTTCCTCTATCTCTCTTATATGGCTATCCATCATCCCAGAGATTTTTCTGATGAAATTCTAAAGAACTCCATAAATAGATAGATGGGAATACTTTGGCTGGTTTAATGGGGAAAATAACTATAGTTTTTCTGATGGCAGCTGATTTCCGAGTTCAATGACTCCTTTATCCCTTATGTCAGGAGTGGGATGATTACTTCATCCACAAGTCTTTTGATAATGAGGCTGTCCAGATGGCTTTTAACAAGAACTGTATAAAAAACCATGCTTATAGGCTGACTTAGCAAATAAAATTTCTAGTAACGACCAGGCAATGGTCATCTCAAACACAAAAAGCCCAAAGTATCCCCTTCAGAGTTTAATGACATTTGCCTCTTTCATTATTTTGAGAACATAACTGATTAGAACTTTAGTTCAGACTGGGTTTATCCTCCAATGACTAAGAAATATATTGAATGTTCAAAGTTTTTTCTTAATCAAAGCACAAGCAGATATGCATTTGCTGGAATCGCATGATGCTGAATGTCCCATTACTCAGACCATAAAACAAAGTGTTCATTGCAACAGGATCACTAATTGCTTTGGTCTCTATCTTGAGGTTCCAACACATATGAAGATGCTGGCAATTACATCAAGAACCAATTCCTGGATCTCAACATGCGAAAAGATGTCAAGGAGATCTATGCACACATGACATGTGCTACCGACACACAAAATGTCAAGTTTGTATTTGATGCTGTGAAAGACATTATCATTAAAGAAAATCTCAAAGACTGTGGTCTTTTCTGAACATTTTGGCTTCAGTATGTATCAGGTATGTAAAAAACCTATTGTAAAAGTATTGTTTGCAATTACTTTCATGATAAATATTGATGTTTGTGGAATCAGAGTTATGACATTACAGAAAAGGACCATTTCGTCCATGAAGTCCATATTGATTGCCTGTTGAATAGTCCAGCCAGTTCCATCTACCAGTGTGCCCCTCCTTGTCACCCTCACCTCCCACTCCACCCCTGGTGTACTGAGGATAGAATAGTCCCTACAGTGTGGAAACAGGTCATTCGCCCCAACAAATCTACACCAACTCTCCAAAGAGCATCCCACCTAGACCCACCTATCCCTGTAACTTTAATGGCTAATCCATTTAACCTACACATCCCTGAACAATTTAGCATGGCCAATTCACCTAACCTGCACATCTTTGGACTATGGGAGGAAACCAGAGCACCCAGAGGAAACCCATGCAGATACGGAGAGAACGTGCAAACTCCACACAGACAGTAGCCCGAGGTTGGAATTGAACCCAGGTCCCTGGCATTGTGAAGCAGCAGTGCTAGCCACTGTGCCATCATGTCACCCTTCAAGAGTTCCTCTTGAAGAGTAGGCCATCCAACATCCTTTTAAATGTCATTGATCACCTCTGTTTCCATTACCATCGTAGGCAGCTAGTTTCAGGTCATTGTTATTAATTGAAATGTAAAAGTTCATCTTCACATCCACCCTGCATCTGTTCATTGAGTACTGCATCTGGTTAGGAGGATAAGAGATCCAAGCTCTGGAATCAAAGTCCTGTCAACTATAAAACATTGTGTAAACCTAATTACTTACTGTAGCCACAATCTGAATACAAGTTTTCATGTAGAATTCTATAGTTTGTTAGTACAGTAATAACAGTTTAACATGATCATGGTTAATAATTTAACAATATAGCTCCTTTCTCTTTTGAAGAAACATTCAATATTTCATCACCCAAGGTTCCCAGATCTTGCCATCCTGGTCTTTCATCCTCACACGAGCACATTGGACCTGAACTCTCATCAACTGGCTTTTAAAAGACTCCTACATATCCTAAATTTACCCTCAAACAGGCATCCTCCCCAGTCTAATTTCTTCGGTTCCTGCCCAATTCTGTTTAATGATCCTTCCCCTGATTTAGCACTTTCACCTAAGGACCATCCTTAACTTTATCCATAACTACCCTAAAATTTAAGAGATTATGATCACTGTTCACAAAATGGTCCTCCACTGAAACTTCGATTACCTAGCCCAGCTCATTCCCCAGTACAAAATCTAACACAGTCCCCTGTCCTAGTTGAGTAGCTTTTATTGTCACGTACATTCAAAATAAAATCCGGTGAAAAGTGTGCTCCATTGCTCATACATAAGCGCCATTCACAGAATAAAATTAAAACAAAAACTTAAGAGGGTCCAACTTCTGTTTTTCACTGCCATACCACCACCAGAGACCCGCTTTGGGCCTTCCAGCCCACATTATGCCGCCGGGAGTATCCTGCTCCGGGCAACACCAGTTCCATGCCACACCTGCTGTTGGGGGATCCAACTCCATGTGGAAGATGAGCACCCCGCTCTAGGCCTCGCAGGCCACCCGAATGACTCAGCCGCCTCCTCCGAAAACACCGCTTCCGGCCGAACAGCTCTCCCGGCCACTCGTCACTCGGCCCCATGATGCCCCGCGGCCCCTCCGGGACTCACTCCGACCCGCCAACAGCCCCTCTGGGCCCGTGCACTCGGCTGCCGTTGCGGGACACGGCCCGAGCGCTCAGCTCCTGCCCGGTCACTGGGGGCAACTCCTTTCTGCAGGGTAGAGTTAAACGGTTGAAGTTAAAAATAATTAAAGGTTGGAGGGCGGGGGAAAGAGGAGGGAGGATAGGAACTGCAAAGGGGAGATGGACAGAGAATGTAAACTAAAGGAGAAAGGAAAAGGAACTGGCGAGCACAGGAGCTCTGACTGGAGCATCTTGCCGGAAGCTACCTACATATTGTTTCAAGAAACCCTCCTGAATGCACCTAACAAATTCTCTTCCATGTAAAGCCCCTGGCATTAAGGGAGTCCCAGGCAATATTGGGGAAGTTAAACATCACTGACTATAACAACCCTGCTGTGTTTCACACTTTTCCATGATCTGCTGTTATATCTGTTCCTGCATCTTCCACTGGCTATTGGGAGGTCCATTATATATACCCAGCATTGGAGTAGGAAAGATGCAACCACTAAGTTCTACCCGTATGGCTTTGCTGGAAGAGTGCTCCAAGATGTGCTCTCTTAGTACAGCTGTGACCTTCTCCTTAAATCAGTAATACAACTCTCCCAGCCCTTTTACATTCCTCCCTCTCTCACCTGAAATATCTAAACCCTAGAATGTTGAGTTGCTAGTTCTGCTCTTCTCGTAACCAAGTTTCTGTAATAGCTATAAAGTCCCACATATCAATCCTGGCTCTAAATTCATCTGCCTTACCTGTTATACTCCTTGCGTTAAAATACACTTCAGACCATCAGTCCTAACATGTTCATTAACCGGACTCTGCCTGTTCTTCCTACTGGACTTACTTGATGCCTTCTCTTCAAACACTCCTCATACTGACCTACTGCTGTTTCCCACTCCCCTGCCACACTAGTTTAAACCCTCCAGCATGGCTCAAGCAAACCACTCTGCCCCTCCAATTTAGATGTAACCTGCCCTTCTCGTAACAATTACTGTGACTCACTTTTTATTCCAGATTAAAATTCCACCAGCAGTCCTACTTTAGAATCATCCTATAAAATGAACATCTATAAGTCATAACATATAATGTCAAAACTTAGAGCAGTAGAGCCACATGGCTCATCTGAGCTGCTGCAGCAGCCCTTTTCTATGATAGTATAAACTGAAAAATTGCATGAGTTCCAAATGTGGTAAAGATGACAAAACGGTACAATGGGATAGAGACAGGTTAGGCAAGTGGGAGAAGATCTGGCAAGTGCAGTATAATGAGAGAAAATGTGGAACTAACCATTGTGGCAGGAAGTATATAGATATATTATTTAAACAGTGTGACAGATCACAGAGAAACTCCCAGCACATGAATCACGAGATGATGCAGGTACACCAAACATTAAGAATGACTAGAAAAAAAAAATTGCTAGAGAAACTCAGTGGATCTTGCAGCATCTGTGGACAGAAAGCAGCATTAACACGGAGTCCACTGAGCTCTGAACAACTGGAGTTTCTCCAGCAATTTGTTTTTGTTTCAGATCTTCAACATTGGCAGTTCTTTGTTTCATACAAGAATGAATAAAATGCTGTTTACTGAAGGGAACTAAATTATAAAATAAGGAGGTTATGCTTCAGATACGCAGGGCATTGGTGAGACCACATCTGGAGCACTGGATTTGGATTTTGTATTTACAAAAGGATGTAAATGCATGGAAACTGTTCAGAGGTTTACTGGACTAATATTTGGAATGGGCAAGTTATTTTAGGAAAAACCGGTCAAGTGATGCTGTTAACAAAGTGCCTATGTTAGATAGCACATTTTCTTATTCTTAACAGTCTTGAACCATTATTTTTTCTGCCCTCAGGCCCTTCCGGCTCTGGCCTTTCCAGCTTTTGCTGGAAGTGTGCTCCATTTCCAAGGTTGAATCTACGTGACCAGCTTCTCCAAACCCATCTTTAATTGACCTCATTGCTCTCACCAGCAAGACATGCAGAAAAATAGGTGTGGTATAATGTGTCATACATACAGAATTGTTTTTCAGGTCTCAAACACTTCATTAATAAAAGCAGCACTAAATCAAGAGGGGTAGTTGACCTAAACCAATCTTCCAATATTTGTGATTGAGGACAATCTTGTGATGTTTTACTTCAAAAATGCATCACTTTATTGTTTAAAAATTAAAGTTGAAACATTTTGTCAAACAATGCAAGTGTGAAACAAGCTTCCATTTCTAAAACAAAAATAGTTGATCTAATCTAACAGCAGGTATAAGTAGTTTGGTATATTTATATTTCAGTTTTAAATTTTTGTGTATGAGCTAATTTCATTGACATTACAACCACTAGCTTCATTCCAGCTGGCATGGTACACAATAGCAGGTACAGGCTAGCTGCTGTTGGGCACCCTAGCATCATTGTACCTAACACTGCTTTGACACAGAACACTTTATATTTTACTGAATTAATGATTTGATTTGTTTCCTACTTCTGGCACATTAAATGTGGATCAGCAATGCATTGGATGTTCTGCACATGGCTTGATATTTGCCTTCTCCCTCTACAACCTGTCCTAAGTCAAAAACAGTTTCCTTATTGTCTTTCAGTTGTAATTTCAAATCTGATCTTAATTCTGAACTTTATTTTTAATTCCCAGAATATCACCTTGTATCATTAATTTAGGATCTTCATTTTTGAAACTGGACAAAGATTTATTTACAATAAATTAACAAAAACATCTTATTTACAGATTCAAAGTTTAAAAAGTTCAATATATGTATACAATCTTTGAGATCATCCATTAAAAAAGCCTTGACTACAGATCTCACGTGTGCCATGAAGTGCTTAAGTTCACAGAAATGCATTTAAACTTGCTGCAACTGAATGAGGGATGGGGTGGGCTGTTAGGGATAGAGAGGGGAAAAAAAGGAAAGTCAGGGTTTGTAAAGGGCATGGAGGGGGAAACAGAACAGATAGGGGCTGTAAAGAGGGTGAGTGAAAAGAAAGACAAGAATGGCATAGGGTGGTTAAGGAGATGGAATCCATGGGGATGTTGGTAGCGGGGAGACATGGGGGACAGCAAGACGGATAATGGGGATTTGAAGTGATCGGTAGCCCTAAAAAAAGGCATGGGATGAAGAAATGGGAGGTCCATTACAGGGAGAAGAGACAGTGTCTGTGAGGGGAGGGGAGACACAGTGGGGCTGTGAAGGCAGGGGGTGCTGTTAGTTGGCAGGGGGATGGGACCGGAAGATGGGAGAGGAGAACCTTCCACCCTCACTCACTATCCCCCATTGTCTTTATGCAATCCCCTTTCAAACTCCATTTCAATGACACCCTTCTTTTCTGTACATGCATAGTATTTTAGCATATGATGTTCATCAGAAGCCTATGTAACGAGGTCGAGTTTCTGAAACTGTGAACACACGTTTCAGGATTGGTGCGCATACACGTTGTAAAAATGCCAGATGTCATAGACCTTGCCAAAAAACAAAAAACAATATAATACTGAAGGAAATGTTGCTATGTAAATACATCTAAGAGTTACTGAAAGTAGCCCCGAAAACCAAAAAAACCTGAAAAAATTCTCAAGGAGCCCCTAAAACAATGCTGATCCCTGAAAGAAATAAAGATGAGACTGTTTTGAAAATCTCATGATCTAATATCAATTTAAAATTAAAACTGTATCGTACTTTATCTGAGATACATGGGCTATAACTGAAGTGACACTTCATTTCTGTTCTTACTTCACTACAAAGAGGCTTTATTACTTTCATAAAAAATCAGCATTTATTGTAGTTAAGTCCAAGCAAGAACAGAGTCCAGTGTCAATCCCAAACTCTCATATTGAATTTAGAACAGTAACAGTTTTTACAAACAAAACTCAAAGTCTAAGCTATAAAGCATGTTAAAATAACCCACAGGTTACTAAATTAAATAAAATCAGAACAGCAGTTTGGCGAAAATTTACAAAATATCCAAGCAATAGGTGTCATGTTTTAAAAAAGACAATCAATACACTGAGTGACTAGAAGAGCTTTTAGAAAATACCACAGTTCACTGTCAAAGATTAATTTATCCAAATAACTTGGAAAATCAATCTTGAAACACATCATATTAAAGATAGCAAATGTGAACAAATGTGTGAAAAACAAACTTCTTCCCTCCAGAAATCATTAAAGAGCAGCCAGTTAATCCTATCAAAGCCTTTGCCAATAGCCTTCTGTAACTTGCTGTGTAAAGTAGTGTGTGAAGTGCCTAACCTCACTAGTTTTGAAATAACCATCCTCTTCCATCTGTTTTGCTTGTTACTCCTAACTATTGATTGGACGTCAGGAACTTACTATGTAGCAACTTAGTCCAAAATAAACCCATGTTCTGAAATTCGTAACAGCACGGTAGAATTCTACACAAAGTTATTTTATAAACAGATGTTTTAATATTCTTCACTTAATGAAAACATCTGACTATAGAACATAGAACATTACAGCGCAGTACAGGCCCTTTGGCCCTCGATGTTGCGCCGATCTGTGAAACCAATCTGAAGCCCATCTAACCTAAACTATTCCATTATCATCCATATGTTTATCCAATGACCATTTAAATGCCCTTAAAGTGGGCGAGTCTACTATTTTTGCAGGCAAGGCATTCCACGCCCTTACTACTCTCTGAGTAAAGAACCTACCTCTGACATCTGTCCTATATCTATCACCCCTCAATTTAAAGCTATGTCCCCTCATGCTAGCCATCACCATCCGAGGAAAAAGGCTCCCACTGTCCACCCTATCTAATCCTCTGATCATCTTGTATGTCTCTATCAAGTCACCTCTTAACCTTCTTCTCTCTAACGAAAACAGCCTCAAGACCCTCAGCCTTTCCTCATAAGACCTTCCCTCCATACCAGGCAACATCCTGGTAAATCTCCTCTGCACCCTTTCCAATGCTTCCACATCCTTCCTATAATCTGGTGACCAGAACTGTACGCAATACTCCAAGTGCAGCCGCACCAGAGTTTTGTACAGCTGCAACATGACCTCATGGCTCCGAAACTCAATCCCTCTACCAATAAAACCTAACATACTGTACGCCTTCTTAACAACGCTATCAACCTGGGTGGCAACTTTCAGTGATCTATGCACATGGACACCGAGATCTCTCTGCTCATCCACACTACCAAGAATCTTACCATTAGCCCAGTACTCTGTATTCCTGTTACTCCTTCCAAAGTGAATCAACTATATACTAGAAAAAAAACATTCTTCAGGTTGTGGGCTATACAGTTACATAGGACTCATCTAGTAGCAGCACTCTATCTGGCACTATTACAAAAACATGACCCATCTACAACAGAGCATTTTATTCATACCAAGCCTCCAGTTATCAGCATGCTTCTAGTGTAAATATCAACTTCTTCTTGGGGTATCATATGTACATACTGCAATGGAAGCATGAAATGGATTTGCCTGCATGTCCCTAGCTTTATAGGCTCCAGAATGTTTTACAATTTCTGATCGCATCCATCGAGCCGAATTTTAAGGCAGTCATGGAGAACTTTTAAGCCGTGGAAGGGACTCCTGGCAATGAATAGGAGGCCACAAATAGTGGAGAAACTCAGCATGTCTGGTAGCATCTGTGCAGAGAGAAAGCGTTAATGTTTTGAGTGCAACCACTTAAAGGTGACTTTTAAACATGCATATATGCCTGATACAGACAAACCATGCTCTCCTTTAATGCTTTATCATCTGACTCAACTTCATTAGCTATGTTTTACATTATTTTTCTTGCAGTCTATCACCAACTCCTACATATTCAAAGTTCAGGTAAAACCAGAAGTCCTACACTGAGATGTCACCTGGATTTTCTCTACTGTAAATTAGCAGTTTACTTTTCCGATTACATCAATTAAAAGGCTGTGAATAGTTTGAAATTGGAGGAAAAAAATCGCATACCTAACAGGTTGAAGACAAACGCCAACCACTTTGAAGTGAAAGAAAATCAAACCGTAGCCTAGAATTAAAAGTACAATGGGCAACTGCCTTTATTCTTAAAATGCACAGCAATATCTACAGAAATTAAAAAACTGTCTTGAGAATGAATTGGTTACTTTTCCCACTGAATTGTTTTATTCTACATTTAACCATGATGATCAATATACATAGGGTAGCTTTTCTCCAAAGGTGTCTCAGATCGAGATAAAATCTTCAGTTATGGAAAAGTGAGGATAATGAAGGTCACCAAGTTCTTGTTTAGCTTGTACTACATGTAGCTCATCAACTGGCAACTTAAGAATTTTTAAAAAAGTAATCTCCTCCCACTCTCCCACATCCATGTTCTATGAGTCACGCTCACATCAAATCCTGTAAAAAGGATTGCTATTCAAACGCACATCATAAAAATTGATCAGAAGAAGCCAGTCTATTTTGGTCCAAACTTCCCATTCCCTTAAAATTCTGTTGCCAAATATGTATCAAAGTCCCTTGTAAACAATAATGATTATGACAATTATGATATCACAAGTTATGTACAGGAAATTCTTCAATATATGGCACTTATTCCAGCAGTGACAGATCACAGAAGGAATTCCGGTCCAGCCTCAAACATAGGAGTAATAGAAATACAAACAAAACTGTTCATTCAGGAGAGGCAACAAATGGAACAAAAATACAGAAAACGCGTATTGCTATAAGTATATATTTACTATAACAACAATGTACAATGATTATTTAAAAATGCAATTACCATGGGATTTAAAACCAAGCTTCACTAACAGCAAGGTTTTGACTTCATTTTGATTCAGTCACTTAAAAATGCCCATTCAAAATCACTTATCCCCTCATTCACAACCATCACTTTCTCTCTAAAACTTCTTTGCGTAACATGGGTTTGAGGCCCAAGGGCAATAACATTGGCAAATTCATGTAGAAAAGAATCTGTTAACAAACATACCAATTCTTGACAATAAATACACATAACCTAATGATCATAAAAATGGATTGGAATGGAAGATGTACTTGCTTGATGAGCTTTCAGAGATAGCTTTAAAAAAGTGACTTGTAATCTTCAACATAACTCAAATGTGACAACTACTTTAAGTGTGCAGATGCATGGGAAAGATAGAACCTGCAGAGTTCACAGGGATTCCTTGTTATAAACATGGCAATATTTAACAATACTATGGCAAGTGAACCAACCATGGTAAATGTTATGAACAACTATGGCAAAGACTGATAAAAGGAAGTTCCTAAATAGCTATCACCTCTTAAAATATTAGGTTAGATTTTTAATGATTTTTTTTTTCTTGTGGTCTACATGGCAGTGCTATATTATGAAAATAATCTAGTGACAGAAGTACAATTCTACTTCACAGATCATAACTGATATTCAAAATTCTTTTTAGGTCACGGTAATTTTATTAACATTCTGAAATGAACAGGAAGCATGAACTCAGTTTAATGGAGTTCCAGATCAAAATCACTGCAGTTAAAAAAAAATCAACAGATTTCAAACCTGAAATAAAAATAGGTAAAACATAGCAGGTAATTCATTAGGAAAAAAAGTTTGGCTTGAATTTAACCGGCTAGATTTAAAGCCATGCATTGTTTTATTATTTGGCAAACTTTGAACAATAGATGGCACTTGAAATTTCAATGGCAGTGCATAGTTTTACATATAGCTAGAGGATAATACTAAGTTGCTAAATCATCAGTTCACGAGTCGCTATATTCTGTGGATCTTAATATTGCTTTTTAACTGGACAAATACACTTGAAATTACTTGCAATGGTTTTTGGGCTACAGAAGTATTTAGTTTCTCTTTTTGTTGGGCTAATCAGTTCTACTATCATAGAACATAATTTCTTATATGTTAAAAAGAAATACAACTTAATACAATCCTTGAATTTCATATTGGTTCAAACGTCAATTAGAATGATTGAAAGCAGTGATGATCAGTTATAACAAAACAAGTTTCAACAACTCTCGCTATAAAGTTTAGCTATATTTTGCAAGAAATAGGGATCAAAAACACTTAATGAAATACCATCCAAAAAAATAACAATGGTCATAGATTGAGTCACCTATCAATCATTCAATACAATTGTGTATCAACAAACCAAAGACAAAAAGAACTGGAAATGAAAAAGCAAAATTTTTCTTTCCCCCCAACAGTGCTGAATCAGTTAAAAGTACATTATGTACATTACTCATTTCAGACTAAAACACAATTTAAAAAAAAAAAGTGTTCATAATACGTATTTAGTATTGAATATCTTGCATGCAGCCTCCCTCATGACGTCAGTCATTTCGCTTTTAACCTCTGCCAGGCAGCATAACCAGGGAATAAAATGGTCCACCTGCAGGCTCTTTTATTAACAAAAAAAACCTAAGAGAAAAGTAAATTTAGATGTTTTCAAAAACTGCATTAAGGAAAATACAGCTAATAAAAAGTAAGCTTTCCATTCAGCAAGGTACAATAATACTAAAAATTCTAATCTTACTGTCTGTTTTGTTTGTGAAAGTTTTATTATGTCTAGTAACTTACAATTCTTTAAACCCCCACCAGCCTCTACAAAAATACAGTATTACAGGGTACTATAACAAGTCTGTAGTTAGCTTGCAATCCCTCACCTGAGTGTGCTCTCAATAACAAGTCCTAGTATAATCCACATTCCTTCAAATTATTTTTGATGATGACATCTGTCACTGCATCAAACACAAATTGCACATTCTTGGTATCTGTGGCACATGTGAAATGAGTGTAGATTTCTTTGGTTTCTTTTCGTCTATTCAGATCTTCAAAGTGACACTGAATATACGCTGCAGCTTCCTCGTACGTGTTGGATCCTAGTCAAAAGAAAAATTAGCTTGCATTAGACAAGGGACAACTACCAATGCTGCAAATAAAATCCTGTATTTTTTAAACAGGTGATAGCATTAGCAACTAGTAACAATGGAACCTAGCTCAGAAACTGATTTGACAAAGTGATAAGCATTTCTATAGAATATATGGAACAACAGCATCAACAGATACGATGAATTCAAAATTTCAAAACTGCTGGAGATCTACCATGTTAAATGAAGCTGTGTTTATAGCATTATTGCCATGAGTGCTTCAAGCCTGTAACACGTCTCTAAACATTTACCAATCTATGCAGCTGAGGTGCAATGCATTACAAATTTATGCAATTGTATTACATTCACTGCTATTTGATACTTTAAAAAGATTAACAACACAAACCACTAAATCCAACTTTGATTAAAATGATTTCAAGTCAAAAGTACAAAAATTCCAAGACATGTAGCAACAGATTACCTGTATATTCTGGGTAACAAATTGTCAGAGGACTTCTCCTAATCTTCTCTTCAAACAGATCTTTTTTATTCAGGAACAGAATAATGGACGTGTCTGTAAACCACTTGTTGTTGCAAATGCTATCAAAAAGTTTCATACTTTCATGCATTCGGTTCTAGGAAGACAAAATTTGATTGTACTTGTTAACTAAGATTATCAGCTTAATCCTCGTCTGCAATAACCACCCAACATATGCCAAAGAAAAAAAAAATCACCAAATAACTAGTAGGCAATGTTAATACATAAAAAAGTCACACTGTAAAAGCTAGACTAAGTCTTATTTCACGTTGTACGAAGTTTTTTTTATTGCAGAATACACGCTCAAGAGGCAGTGAGGGGGGGGATAGGGGGCGGTGGCCAGGGGTGGGGGTGAGCGGGCAGAGAGAGAGCAAGACAGGAAACCATATACATTTTCTAAAGGGATGCAATAGATGTTTGATTAAATTATTCAGCATCAAAATGCCATTAATGACACGCATCTCCATGCCTGCAACGAGACTATAAATGTGATCTACTAAAAAGCTAACACTTCCTTCTCTTTTAAAATAATAAATAGATATATCAAAACACAATCATGATGATTACTGCCCATTCAGTTCTTACCACTGACTGAGCAATCTGACAATTTAAATATAATTCTGAAATTGTTTTAATTTAATTCCGCACATTTCACATAGTACAAAATGCTCTTACAAACCAATGTGAACATATTAATAAATTCCCCATAATTTAACTACATGTATTATTTACACTAAGAAACAAATCCTATAGTACAGAATTATGTTTCCTATAAACTTTCTCTGGATAATATTTACTTTGGATTTTTCTGCTACAGAAGGCAGTGGAGGGGGGGTCAAAATGCTTTTCTTGTAGATGTAGATTCTTGTCAGAGAGTTGCGAATGTGGAATTCAAACACAAACAGACAAGCATGTTTTACTGAATGGAGGAGCAAGCTCAAAAGGACTGCGTAGTTTATTTCTGGTCCTAATTCGCATGCTGCTCATGTAAACCCTTTCAATTACAACATAAGGGCTAAATCAGTAGTGTAACTTATGAAAAATTCACATATTTTTCAGTTTGGACCACTGAGTGAAACTCAAGCATACCCGTCCTAATAACTACACCTGAAATTTACTTACAAAACTCCTGTGTAAAAGCTGAAGTCATCCCACTAAATCCTGACTATATCACTCACATTTGAACTGTTCCTCCAATCAAAGAAAATATCTCCATCATATGATATACGATATACATATATGATATACGATATACATATATGAT